GGGTGAGGTGTTATAGATACTATTCTCGGTTTTGGTACTTAATTGGTCTTGCTGCTCATAAATCAAATGGGGCTGTTTCCGTAGTCATCACTAAGCCTAAAACTTTTCGTTGTTATCTATTAACAGGGGTCCAATTACGCGGAATGGCTATCGTGATCACTTCTCATCCGTATTCAGAAAGGAATATAGCGGCTTTTTGTTCTTAACACCAATTTTTCGGATGGTTTTTGGCTGTCGTAGGCAAAAGAAGTAGGATCAAAAAATGTGGAAAATGTATCATTTCGGGGAAAAATTTGCTCCCATCAAATCTTTTTGCATCACAGCTGAAACCATGGGGCACTGCGTTTACCGGTTGAACGCACATGTGTTTAGGTAATCAAAATTTAAGCAGGGAAGTTGCATTTTTCTGCATTCTCTTTGACTCTGAAGTGATTTTGGCTTCCAATTACATTCTTTATTTATCCAAGGTCTTTGAAAATTATCAAAATTTCGTGAACATGGTTGTTTCGCTCTAAATTGTACTAGCGCTTTTCTTGAAGGTGGCAATATTTTCAATTTCTGAGATTACGATAGGATTTCGCGTAATCAAAGTCTTGGGCCACGGGACTAAGGGGTAGCCAGTAGTTTCGCACAATTTCGTACAAACAAAGGGCGGGGGAGGGGGGGGGGGGACTGGAGTAACCTCCTATTCTTACCCACCATCTCTTGAGCGTCCATATTTTATCAGTCACTTCGATATCCCACCCTAAGTTTTCCCTAACGGTACAGAAGGCGTGTCCTTCTAAAGAATTCGACCCTTCCGCAATGAATCCCTGCGCATTGTTCCCCGCCGATGGACTCGACTCAACGGCGTCCACGGAGGTTGACGAGTCTTGTGTGCCGGTAGCTCCCCTTCGACCTGCTATCTCATTTTTCCTATGTGATCAATGACGCCTCAGTGGTGGAATGCACCCCACCGGCTGCGCTCACGGAGTAACGGCTCTGGAAGGGAAAACGCCTCATCGTCTATAAATACAATCTGGCTCTGTAAAAAGTAGTTGAGATCGGTTTTGCGTCTCTCAAGGTCATGTTGGCCATTCGAAGTCGATTTCTATTGGATCTGGAAGACCACAGACGCTGGATGTCGACCTCTCAAACTACCGGGGAGAAGAATAGATGGGGAATTCTGGCTCAAACCTTCTACATAACCTTTCTGATGGTTCGTTATAATCAGTGGGAAGTTCTGAGCTGTTTAGACGGCCGATAGTGGTTTGCATATCGGTCGAGATCGTCCCATTCGAAGTTCGGCTTGACAGCCGTTACGTTGACTGCTCGCTCAGACTTCATGATTTCACAGAGATCCATGCTACCCTTTTGCTCTCCCTCAGCTTTCCAGTGTCTGACCTTTCAGACGCTTCGCCTAAGTGTCAGGGACATCACGTCAACCCGTTCCCAAGTGCAACCTCTGCTTCTGGACGATTGAGTTCTTCAAGAATTCATGAGTAATTACGCGGAACTTCGATTAAGTCGTGAGTTGCTTCGTTTTCGTCTCCATTTCTTCATTGGATATCGTCATTGTTAATTGTT